CCTCCTTCCAATTGTGTTTGTAATAAAGACCGTAGAGGAACAATAGCTCAGAAAAACTTCTCCGTTCCACACAGGTGATCCCACATCTATCACCCACTCTTTATCAATGATGTAACAAAAGGGAAAATGGAGTGTGCGATAGACTTACCTCTACGTGGTGCACTCTGGGCAACGTATACTCATATGGTAAAAAAGTCTATTAACTGGCAGTTGACCTCTGACTTCAAACTACCATGACCCCACTGTATGTCATATTCGACTACTTCCACAGTACTCACCTCACCTTTACTCTACCTTTGTGTCTCTCTCTTTTACATCTTTGAAACGCTCTTCTGTTCCTCCCCCTCTCGACTTTTTTCACTTTGATGTTCCCTCCCCTCTGTGAAGCCTGAAGTCAACTAAAGGGCTAATGATAACTACCAAAACGCCTGCCATTTGATATAAATAAATAAACAGAAGGGAAAAGTTTCCTTCTAGCGCACAAATGTGAAAATTTTTAGCCGAGAAATTACAAATTACCAGCTTATTAGTGGCTATTGTTTAAATTTGCATGCTCGCTTAAACGCGTTACATGGAAGTGTCGTCACTTCGCGAAATTTTGAAGTGAAGCCCACCTTCAAGGTAATAACGTGTTTTTTACCGACATCTGTGAATTGTGCCCACTTTGAAGGTTTAATTAGATTAAAACATTTCATGAAGCAACAGCAATGACAGATCTAATGAAGGCGAATGAGGGATGACTGAATGCAGAATCTCAACCCGACGGGAAACCGAATGGAACTTGTTAAATTTAGCAAGTTCGAAAGTCGTATCAATTTTGCATTACTGTGGGAAGGAAAGCTGTTCACAAAATTTGGAGACCACAATCCTGAAATCAACAAGTTCTACATAACCCGAATCGCGATAGATGTCTCTTAATTCGAAAAGCCCTATTGACCTGAGCATTCATGTTAGAGCCCACTACTCATTAGTTATTTAAAGGTGAGGATTTACATTTGTCAGAATTTTTTTGCTATTCTGCATTTCAGAGATTAGTTACGCCTGGTAGTAGAAATAGACATAAACTCACATAAATAAATTTCAAAAATATTTGAACTGCAGTTAGTATATTTGTCTCATGATCCTAGATCCCTTAAGTCCTTTCATTAATAATTGGAAAAAAAAATCCATAAAGAAAATTTTCATTTCAAAACAAATCAACTGAATACGCCCAAATTAGTGACTTTAAAGCGCTCAGAGAAATAGGAAACAAGGCTTGACAAAATGAGACTGAGAATTAATTTTCTCATATATACCCGTCTCTATAAAACACAACTTAAGAGGTGTGATTTTAAACCTTGAAATGTAAGAAGGAGAATGCGTCAATGACTACAGACTCCGAGTGATAATGAACTTGGATCAAGCCTGAGTCTCAATTAAGTCATTCAATGATTTAATGTGACCTACTGCTATCTGACCCTACACGTGATTCATTGCTCATGAATGACACAATTTAGTCACTTATTATCCAAATATCGAAAGATGAACTTTATTGAATCATAGTCAGTGCAAACTAGGCTTCAAATGAAGTAAATGAAATTTTTCCCGGATTATGCATTTGACGAAGATGATGAGTCTGAGCAGAAGTAAAATTGAGACAATTTTGAATCTCAGGAAGAAAGTAGAACTCTTAGGCCCTCACTATATCTCACCCCCCCCCCTCCGACTCTACAGTTATTCCAAACTGAACGATCTTTGTATTTAAGCATATTTGGATGTTTTCCGTGACCAAAAGCTGTAAAACCATTTCATTTTGACATTGAGAACCATAAATAAGATAACGTTAAATGACATAATTCCAGATACTGATGTTTGCGTCAAGCCCGTTTTTGAAACTGTCAACACTACTTGATGGGGAAAAGATTAGGTAGATAAACTTTTATGAGAACTTTGCTACCTACGAACCCCAATTTCGATCATAATTGGTCAGTGTGATAGGTCACAAACATCATTAATTGTGCATCGGTGCTTATTAATGCCTTGACGCCTGAGCCGAGACGAGCACGGGAACACAATTGACTTGTAATCAAGTCGGACTGTAATCAATTATATCAAGGAAGGCGATTTGATTATTTTCGGCCCACTAAAACTAATTCCATAAGCTAACGAAAACCAGCCATCAATAAACTAAAGTAATGGCGGCGAAATCATACGGGACTCCGTATGAAAAAGATGAATATACAATAAAACTAAATTTTATCTCAAATTGGAAAAAATTAGTTGACCTAGTAACCCATTTTATATCTAAACTATTTATTCGTAAATAAAGTTTGTTGAGCACTTTCTTTTGTTGTAGATCATGCTGCCGGAATACATGCAGAGAAGCATAAAGCGCTTGATCATTCACAAGTGGTTATTTAATAATAATGATAATACACTTACACAAAATCACCATCTTCGCCTTTAAAGACGAAACAGTCGAAAACAGGCGTAGGAAAATAGTAGTTATCACTTATCATCGATAAAACCTTTTCCATTGACGCTAGAATTGACGATTTCTCAGTCTAAAGCAAGAACCAGAGTTAATTTGCAAGGATTCCACTGAATAAAACCGAATAAACTGACCTTATCCAAGGATGCTAACCAGTCCCGAAAATTGCAGAAGTTGGGGGATTCAGGAGGATTTATCAGGGGGCCCTGAATTGCAGGTTTTGGAATATCTTCGATTCGACTTGAATCTAAGGGGGGTTCCCTCAAAGAATCTTCCTTATCAATTTCGTCATTGCAAGAGAAAAAGCTAGCCGGTGATGAACTATCTGACTGATCGGTTTTGTAATTCTCGCCACCAATCGCACTGCACGTAGTTGGTTCTAGGACGCGATTTTAAAAATTATTAACATTCAATGGATGGAAAACAATGATAAAAAAATCATAACAAAATAAAATTAGTGTACCATTTTTGTAGGTTCCTTCATTATTATGAGCTTCCCTAACACAGGGAATACGCAAATGTGTTTCGACGTTTAATTCCTCATGGATTTGATTGGATAAGCTTTGGAGTAAGGAAAACCACCTTTTATCCCCTTTGTCAGTTTTTAACTGATCAACAACAGGGCCTGGAAAGATATCCCAAGCTGGTTTAACCCCAACTTTTATCAACCCATCCACTGGTTTCCAAGAAGAAGGTATCTATTGAATGGGAAAATATTCAATCAACTGAAAAAGATTATAAAATTCAGAAGCAATAAAGGGTTAGTTACAGTTATGAATCTTCCAGAAGGTGTAAAAAAACTGCGAGCCTCATCGGTTATTATAAAACTATGTAGCATTGAAACATCACCCGAACCACTGGCATCGATCATATCAATAATTTTGGGTTTCCCTTCCGAGGTGACTTGAAGGCCGCGAGAAGTTGGGTCAATTCCAGTATCCCAGATTGCAATTGTAACCCCACGACCATCATAATTTGGGTTGTTTTTAAGGAAGTCTAGAGCCCCAATTTCGTGCTTTGGTATCATAGACTGCATCTAATATGCATATTTGATATTCAATTAAGAATGCAAAATAATTGTTTGAAAACTCAAGGTAAAATAATTGAGCAATTTTAATGAAAATTTTAAGAAACCGCAATAGGTTTCAAATAAAACAAAATCCGAAAAACCAACCACTCACTGGAACAGATTATGAGTATAATGGTCTTGAATACACCGCGGACGCTGTACCAATGAGAAAGTGTATATGGATAAGGATAAACATTAACAAGGCCGAAAATTTCAATGACAAGCTTTTACCATAAAAAATAATTGATCACATATCTTTAAGATATCATTTAATTTTAACTGATTTCTTTTGTTCTTATCGTATTTACTCATAAGCATATCTTTACTTTTTCTCTATTTCATATTCAGCATTCAGTGTTCATACTCTATATTAGAAAACTTGCAACTGCATTAGAACAGATTAAGGCTGATCATTGAACTTGTTTTGGATTTTCAAAATCGATTAAGATATATTGCAGTGAAAATAGTTGGGAAATAATTTAGCAAATTGCTTCTCTTATTGATCACAATGATAATTTCCCTTTTTCCCTAGATGGTCATGACTGAAACTTCATTTTCACATATTCAGCAAATAGCTCTTGTATATTGTAAATTCCTATCATTGCCCTTTAAATGTTCGGTGAATGTACATTTAATTACTAGTTAGAGAAATGCTTGGAAATCAGAATGGAGTTATTTTCTCGTTTAGGTTAGTGCCATTTGATCGCACTTTGTGGGTGATGTAATATTCTCATTTATATATTAAGTGGAACTCAATTTGGTGGTTCGAATTTCCACTACTTTTAGTTTTTACCTAGTATGCATGTAAATAGTTTAATTCTTTTTAATAGTTAAACTACCATTCGAATTTTCTGCAAATTGAGGATGATAAGCCAACTAATGGATCAAAGGAAAAATATGGACTATATTATAAAAAGTAGTTTTCATAATCAGGTATACCGGCTGAGGCGATCATGACCAACCCTGATTTTTTCCTATCTTTTAATTCTAATTCTTAATCCTCATTTATTGTAGAGTTAAAATTTTACTTGAGTTTAGTAAATCCATCTTCATTAAATTTTATATTTTGTAGCAATATCGAATTTGTGATGATCATAATAGGACCTACTTCTATCAATGGAATTAGAAGTGGCTGTCGGTGTTATTGATATGAACAAGTTCTGATACTGTTGATATTTTAAGTGTGGCTCAAGACGCTAGTTTGCCTGATTTGTCTCTAATAATTCTCCAGTATTAACTCTTTTTGGGTCTGACAGCTTTCACAACAATACCGACATTGTGGGGGAGAGGTAGAGTGAAATGTGTGCAGGTGTTTATGTCAAGAATGAGTATTCATTTGTATGCTAAGTATTAGTAGTTTTAAATTAGAAGTGGAAGCAGAGTCAGATAAAGTTCATGTACTAAAAGTCATTATATGGTTATTTTTTATAATATATTTCCGCATTCCCACCTTCTTTTGATCTCATTACTTCCTCATATAGCTTTTTGGACTTGTAGTTCTTCAGTTAGGCTTTTTCTTTTGTTAACGAAATAGTTTCTACGATTTTTAATGAATGAAAACCAGAATCGAATCGATTGTTCTCAAGAAAGATGCGTAATTAATACCTTCCTGAGAAATATATAATGATTTGGCACCCTGTTCTGGGTTAAACAATCAAATGTCTCGAACAAATAGAAAGAATAAGAGGGGGGAGTTGAAAAGTTGTAACCCATCCTATTCGAGATTGAAAAATGCTGATGAAAGAACATAATAAGAACTAGTGAATGAATAATAGTCTGACATAGGCGAAAGGCGGCGCAAACTGAAGAAAGTTTTGCAGAATGGAAGAAAGATGATCATTCATAACTATAAAGATACATGTCATTTATTTTCTCTCTGTTATTCTGAATACATGACTAGTCTTTTAAATTATATGTCCAACGTAATTCGAGTTATTTGATTTATAATCAGCAATGAACTGTGAGAAATATACAGCGTAACGATGTGACCAACAGAATTGTAATATTTCCTTTCCTGGTTGCATATCGGTGAGAAGATCAGTAAATATAAAATGTTCCTCATTGATCAGTTGAAATAGCTCGCTTGATTTCGTAGAAAATTTTGTTACAAATATTGAGTTCAAGGCAAACTTTATGCTTTATGACTGTCACAGTGTATCAATTAATGTTCCAATGATCGCACGAGTTAGATCTAAGGGTTAAATAGTGAAGAGCGAAGTAACAAGTGCTTAATTCAAGAGAAATCCAATATATGTGGTAATTTACTACCTGCAATGTTAATTTCTTCTATTATATTAATCATCTTATTTCGGGAAAAAAATATCCCTCAATCTTTGTAACGCTTTCAAACTTATCTATTTTCTAAAACCCACTTTTCACTTTCAACCCGCATGTCACTTAATTTATATTTCAAGTTCAGGTACAATATAATACTCTTACTTCTCTTGTTAAATATCCTTTTTATACTACCCTTTATGCTATCTATTTAATTTCATCTCTTTCTGTGTTTTACATATTTGTTCTCTGTCATTTCGTTTTCTAACTAGCCATTAATTTAAAAATAATGTCATTGGGGAAAAATGCTTAACTATAGTAAATGGGATTAAAATAGTTAAATATGTATGTACTCAAAGAACAACCCAATGAAACTTTCGGTTGATCATAACTTTTAAAAATAATAAAATATGCATGAATATTTCAAATTTAATTTAGTAAATAAGTCTCAACACCTGCCTACGCTGTTATAAGTAGGCGTTCGTTGAATGAAGTACGTTGGAATGGACATTAATGCATATTTGTCGCCCTTTAAATTGAAATCCCTAAAAAATAGATTTTCAATTTCGATGAAACTCAATTATCGAAAGATTCAAATATTGCCCACGTTGCTAGCATTTCCAATTTTATTGGTTTTATTTTCCTGCCATTCGATTTTGAAATCAAGGTAATCAGTTCCATTTCCTTTTAAATCAAAATAATAATATTTACCAATTTTTAATCCTAAGAGCTTAATAACCCTTATAATTTAGATTAATACAGACGTGGTACATTTTTCCACTCTGATCAACTACAATTAATCTATTCAACTTTGAAAAAAATTTTATTTATTAATTTACGACCCAAGTAATCAAGCCAAATAAACTAATCATACTTATAAATTGTCTTAATACTGTCAATAAAACACTAAATTAATAGTGATTATATTCTGTAAGTATGAACTAAATCAAAAAATTTTGTAGTGTGAAATTTAGTTAAATAATTTTATTCGTATCAATTATTTTGATTTAAACTAAAATCTTTGAAATATATGGCCCTAAAACGTATATTAAAGCTACGTGCGTTTTAACCTATTATGCTCAAGACATTTAATGGCGTGGAGCGTGGGGTTTCGCTCATCCGTTCCTTCTGTTTTAGAAAAATTGCATGCGACCAGCGCGAGCCAGATACTTCTGGATTTGCTCTACTGTATGCGAAATTTACAGAATCCTGTTTGACCCCAACGAGTTATTTTGTTGGGACTAGGAGGGTTCGTATATTTTTACTTATTTTTTGCACCAAACCAGCGCAGATTTGTTTTACGAATCTGCTTAGATGTGTGCAAGATTAAAGCCTATCATTCATGATTATGATAGTTACATTTGTGCTATTTGCCGGACATGGTCAGGATAGTCCGTTGGGATTTATCCTCTAGGGCTCCGGAAAATTCAACACGCTAATCTCATCAAGGTGTCTAAAAGTCCGTCACCTTGGACAGATGCGCATATTCTTCGCTTTTAACCTAAGAATCTATGTTTCGAAAACTTCGCAAGCGTACATGGTGGCTGTGTATTCAGCCTTCTGTCGTCGTTTGCAAAATTTAATATCACGGAATTCGCATGGGACTTATTAAGTTCTGTTATAGATCCGTGAAAAATCAACTAACCATTAAGGTTTTGGTGACGAGTTTCTTTCTAACAACTTCTCAATAGGAATTATTACTATAATAGGTCGCTGAAAAGGTATGAAATTAATGACATGCCGTCGATTTGCATTATTAAACTTTTTGTATTTTAATGCTGGCTGCTTTGTCCATAATTCATAACTTCCTTCAGACGTTTACTTGCTTGTATTCAAATTGTGACCCCATTCTAAGTGCCCATGTCCTAATTTTCAGTAATTTCTGAGAAGGGAAAACGTGCATTCCGCAAATACTGACATCGTGTGCATGCTTATGGCAATCGGAATTAGCAGCCGACCGGTTTGGTTTAGGCACCTATTTCCTATCCCGAAGCTTTATATATATTGACTCGATTCTTTTTGTGCCAAACATGAATTAAGCTCGCATAAGAGCTGGAAATTCAAGCGCATACCTATAGCGCTCAATTTTCGAACCCATTCCTACCCGCCCTCAATTGGAGTAAAACCGCCAAAAATTTTCTGTGGAAAAAGTCAATAGAATTTGTGAAATATATTAAGAAATATCAATTTTATATACATTGAAAGCCACTGGCAGCAAATTTGAGAAGATCCAATGTGCACTTAAGTAGAATTGATTCCAAGTTGCCGAACATGAGGCGTATCCTCAATCTCTCATTATTCATTCGAGGGCAATAGGCTATGCACAACTACTGCGAATGTCATCGATGTACCAGACGTTCCTCATCTGTAAAAAAATAAGGAAATTTTAATCAAATCTGGAAGACTGTCTATATCTAATGATACAGATAACTAGTAAAAAGAGTGGATAATATTGCTATCGTCCTATTCCCAAGCAAAAATGTTTGCGCGGGCAGTACGAGATATCACTATTAAATTTTGCAGACAACGACCACTGGATGAGTACACGTCCAGCATGCACGCCTGCAAGAAAGTAAGGAGTGTTTGGATGCTTCCAAGATGTCTAGTAGTCTAGTCATCCTGATGAGATCCAATATCTTACTATTTCCGAAACCTAGAGGATCGAAACAAAAGAACTATCCCGGCATTGTTCGGAAAAGTAAAGCCTTAGTAGATAAAATGTGTAAAGAATAACTGGAAGAACAAATCCACACCAACCTGGTACAAAAGCATTGGAAGCACAATTACGTACGTCTTGCAGCTGGCAAAACAAAGTTAAGACACCAAATCGGTATGGTAAACCATTTTTCCGGAAACGTCAAAGGAAGCAAGAGACGTAACGACCGGCACAACAAGTACCACGATTCTGGGCGTGCACGCCGGTCGATAATTTAAAAGTATAAATATATCCTTTGGAAATTTTTATTAAGTATGAATTAAAATAATATTTATGATATTTTTATTTTAATGATACAATTTTTTATTTTTTTGTAGCTTTTTATATTTTAAGTGATGAAGCAAATGTGTCGGTCTGAATATGCATAATAAATACCTGTCACTCAGGATTAAATTGAGATCATACAAATTTTAGCGTCGATAGAATGTATCCATGTCAATTTTCATAGATGCATTTACGTGTAAATGGAGACCTATAAAAAGTTAAAATTATACTGCGCTGAATTTCAATAATATTCTCCCAACAAAATAGAAATATTTTTTACATGAACTAGCTAATTGGTTAGCATTTTATGTTCCTTGGCACTTTTGTTCTGACCATTTTAATTTAATACTATTTTCCGACTAATTTAATAGATCAAGTATAATTTCAAAATACCGTCATTTATACGCACCATCATTTGAGCGAAGAGTAGACTTTACGATTAAAACCTTTGCAATTTGCGAAATTTATTTCTGAAAAGTGTATATTGAGTTGGCGGAAGCTCAATTTACAAATGGTGTGCTACATCTAATTCTGCTTCGCAAGTATTCTTTTAAATTTTAGGGGCTGTTAATGGAATATTAATGAAAAATCAATTATCATTCATGTTTGTTTCCGACATGGTAGATTCGATTGTCCGGGCCGAACATTTAGTCTATTTTCACATCTTAAATTGCTAAATGCGTTCTCGCCATAATTAAGTTGATTTTGTATAATGCCAGATTTATTTCCTAAGCTAGAACATGTTGTGTTACAAGATTAATTAGGCTATTGTTTTATCTATCAATATTAACGACATTCGTATGTTAATCGTTCAACTAGAGTTAAACTAAACTCGATGAATTTTTTGTTCATAAATATATTGTAGGTACATAATATGTCAAAAGAATATAACTGAATAAATCTGATGCAAATCCCTTTCTTCTAGTACTAATATTCTATCAGTTAAAAATTTATTCATGGATTTATAGGTTTAATTCTACTTTTTAATGTAAATATATTAAGTTGCGTTTATTCATTGCTCAATCATTTTGGGAGCATATGCAAACGTTAATTGTTTCACTTTACATATCAAAATAAAATATGTTGTAACGGAAAATTTGCTTTCCTTGCACCATACGGTTATATTGGCAACATGAATTTTATGAAATACTACAATTCGAAAAGCAGCAAGATGTTTCGTTTATTGTGGGATTTTCATGCTTCCAGCAATTACTGAAAGAAATGCGAGTTTTGTACTTACTACATAAGTCTCATTAGTATTCTTGGAAGCATAAGTAAGGTAGAATCATTTATTTGTGCTCAAATTAATTTCAAACAAATACTTAGTGACTCCAACTTCCGATCTTATTAATTTCATGATATTTAAAGCATTAATCAAGAAAGAGCTGCGGTACCTTTTAATGGGTGTTTACAATATTTTGCATTTACATACTTCTCGAAATAGATAAAGATTAAAAAGTCAGTTCCAAGCAAACAAAGCATGGGCTTGCGACCTAAGGAATCGTCAAAAATCCATTCATTTCAATCTGGCTTTACTGTGCATTTCTGAATAAATTAAAATCTATGATAAGGCACCAGTTGTATAACTTAAAGTGTGAATGCGTAACTAATCGCTCTGAACCTTCGATAGGAGCATTAAAGATGGGAAGGTAGTTTATGACTCTTCAACTTTATGGAATCAAAAGGCTGCAAGTTAATATATTAATTAGCTAAAAATTAATTAGTGATGGAGTTTCAATAGCGGACATAAATATGTAGAATAACCAACAAAGCACAGAATGTCCGAGGGATGAACCTCTTTTATTGAATTTCTTGCATCTCGTTCCAAGTACTCAAAGATTTTGATTCTACATGAAGACTTGGCCTTGAAATGGTTGGGTTCGTAACGAAGAGATAGGAGGACACAGCTGTAAGAAATCGATTTAATCGAGGGCTTATCCAATGCAGTTTTAGTCTGTAGTAAAATGCTTATCTGCATGTGCCCTCCACATTCTCTGGTTCCCCTAAATGTTCTGCCATTTTGAAGTTAGTTAGTTATCCAAACTCAATCAAGTTCATCAGGCATTCCTTTTTCGTTGTGCTTGTCTAATTCTAACTGCTATATTGTTGGTACTGTTCAAGATTGTCTGAAAATTGAAAAGTGCACGCATTGGTAACAAACTTGTTTCTTCCACTTATCCTCTTCTACGGCTAACCCGCTTATCATACCATTTTTTCCTCTCTCGATTAATAAAACCGTGTTCTCTACAAATCTATAGTCTTTTTCTGCACGATCGAAAATAAAATCGGACAACTTCAGCCGCAACTTTCATTTCCCTTATCGTAGATCACAGAATACGCCATAAATTGATACACATTTACTCATAAGCCCACTCAAAAGTAAGTTCTTTTTAACGCATTTCTTGGGAAGCGCCAAGCATTCTATTTCTAAGTGAGAAATTCTCCCATTACTAACAAAACGACACTATTTCAATAGGAAGCGTCACAAATTTTTATTAGTAATCACCTTAATAGGTAAAATGACATTAAGCAATTATTTTTCAAGCAAATGTTTGAAATAAAGTTCCCCATGTGTCTGAGAAGAATGTTTTGGAATGAAGGGGATTTCAAAAACATCTGTGAATCCCTCCTCCTTCGTAGGAACCTGATACTTGTTTCTAAAAAAAAGTCAAAACAATGAACTACTTAAAAATAATATGTAGCACAGAATTAACAATTGGCGAAACATACTTCATCATATTGAAAACCATGATACTTATTTTGCTATGACCTTTGCACGTAATCTGACGAAACTAAAAATAAAAAAGGAAAATTAAGGAAAACGTAAACAGTGATACTACTTTCCCGTAATAAGCTCACAATTTCATTGTGACGAGCATGGTCAAAGGACGTCTTTAAAACGCAAGCATATACAGGAATCATCAGATTCTTTGCCACTTGTAAAAATGAACTCCTGGACGCGGTATCAACGTTAGTATTATCAATTACTACTGATAAGCCCGATTTCAGCAGGGCTTGACATTTTTCGACGCACTTTTTCATATCCTTTATGGTATCCTATTGGGAGAAAAAGGAAATCATAAAAAATTGTGCTAGTCACTCAAAATCACAATTTTAGCAGAGGCTTACCCTGCTCACAATCTGAAAGCCTGCATTCTGAAGATATTTGCCGCAGAAAGTCGATTTACCGGCTGGTAAGACAAATAAAAAATACTGTTCTTTTAGCAGTTAGTGCTTGGCAAGATCATCTAGTTTCGAAAGCATCACAGATACGAAGAATTTCACATATTTATTCACATCAAATGACAGGCTTAATGATCGTAATCAGCAGCCCTTTTGTTGACTTTGGAACTTCACGGGGGGGGTGGGGGTGGGGGAGGAGCATCAAAGTCACAAAAAGTCATATTCGACTACTTCCACACACAGTACTCATCTCACCTTTTTCTCTCTCGTTCTTCAAGTGAATTAGTAGAGTTCTTTCCCTTATCTACTGCTATTTTATGCAATATAAGTTTATATCGGAGAAAGGACAGTAGAAGGCCAAAACGACTGTTCAATGAATTTTGGACAGAACATAGGCTACTTACATGCAGGAAATCCAACCATAATGACAAGAACTGGCGATTTTAGATCTTTAAGTGCAGAAGGTACCGGATCTATCGTATCATCAAAAGAGTCTCGAAATTTTGCGATATCAAAGAGAAGTGGATAGGTGAAGTAGGTAGCATAATTATCATCCCAAAGTTCCTCTGGAGTTTTGAACGTTATTCCTACATTTAAAGCAAACTAAAAAAAGGAAAAAATAGCTTTCTTGAAAGGCTAATTTAGCCACTTACGAGACGATCACAATGGGAATGATCCTTCTTTTTCTTTCCTTGAGCCTCTCTACCAGCTGCATCTAAAAATTATTTTTTAATCCTGAAAATCTAATTTCTCGAAAATACCTCCACAGTAAATCGATTCATTTCGATTGATTTCTATTCCGTCATTATCCTTATTTAAACAATAATAAGTTGGTTAGAACAGAAAAAAGAAATATTACGGATTCCAAAGTTTCCCACATGCCTATTCGCGGTTTTCGTAGATTATCATCAGAAGTAGAAAAATATCCACGCAAAGGAATGTCCAGTTTTGCACACACTGCAGTAAATTTCGCTTTAAATTCGGGAATACGACGATCGGATTCTTTTGCCAAGCCAAGCTGTAAATAAAAAAATTGAACGATTAAAGGAGATTCAGGTTCTAGAAAAGATAAGCTAATAAGCCAATTTGACGTGCCTGATTAGAGATTATAGCGATAGCAAAGCCATCGTCGATGTATTTCTTTAAAATACGTGGAATTTGAGGTGAAAGAAGTCTGAGAAGAGATATTAAAGGTTAAAAGATTAGCCTTACTTCCAATCGTTGGGATTAGCTGCATAAGTTCTGCCTGATGCAGTAGTAATTACAGTTCCATCCAGATCTAGAGCAAGGACCTAGTGCTATTGTTAGTCAGAACAATCAAGTTACTTTAGAAGATGGTTTGACATTGGAGTAATTATAGATCAACAAATTGGAACCCTCAGTCCAGTTCGCCGATGCAGATACATCAAGGGTTGATTGCCTACTGAAGTTCAGAGTTTAAAAAGACATGTAGAAGAAACGATATTGGATTCACAGAGAGCATGAAAGCGGACTAACAATTTTTTGGCCTCGTTATTATTATTATTTACAAAAGCTGAGCGCTTCGGCATCGCTTGATCAACTGAAATGGAGAAAAGAAGAAAGCATGTAACAGTTGAAAAGGTAGCCAATTAAAACTTAGCATATCACATTGACATCAAGAACATCAGTGATATATTGCCAGCGAAAACTTTGGAGCCAATGAACTGACATGAAAGTCGGCTTTGATTATTTAATCAGGTGATTCATTAATGTTTTAAAAAGCCAATATATTCAAATTAGAAAATCATTCAGAACAAAATTAAATGAAATCCGTATAAGTAATGTAATAGTACAAATATGGCTTCACAAACGCAAAATATTGCTAATTATATTGTTGGAAGAAAATTACACTAATTAATGTTCCGAACGAGGCCTGCGTTAATAACGTAAATGGCCAATCAATTTAAGAGCACTAATAAAGGTCACATTAACTACCTCGAATGATCATAAAATTGCCAGATTGCAATTGGCTTGAAGCAACATAGTTAGAAAAAGAATAGAAGGAGTTATATATTTAATTTCAACATATATCAAATTTATTTGAGTTAAATATTTAAAGTTATCAATCTTCTAAAGTAAAAATTAAAAATATTGTTAATATATAATTCTTGAACCGGATATTTAACATTTTTATAACTGGATAAATATGTACTATTGCTAATTGTATTTTATTAATAATTAGAAGTTTTGATATAAAATTCTGCAAAAATGAATTATCCTAAACAGATATAAAATGCTTTCTCGCCAATAGCTCATTTTTATACCTGAAATAAAACTTTGATTGCGGTTATATGAATACGAGACCGCAGAATAAGTTAACTCATAATAAAATCTATGATCGTGATCTATATGCACCTATTTTAAAAATAAAGGCAGAAAGTGGACTTTACTCATACCATACTTATCTTTGGTTCAATTTTATTCACTGGAGACAGCTGAAATTTAGCATTTTTAAACATTGCCCATTTGGAATAAAGAGCATAGTAGTTTCCCAATCTCTTTCAAATTAATGGGGCAAAATATTACAGCATTTGGATATAAAATTTCAATATTTCGTTAAACCACTTTGCGGAATTCGTTATTATTATGGATTTGAACTATTTCTACAATTTTCAATGGTTAGATGTGAATCATCTTCACACGCTTATGTTACAATATTTTTAATTTAACTTATTTCATTTGGTATAGTTGAATATTGAGTCAGTATGTTGTGTGTAGCGGATT